CTACATTGTCCCTTAGTTGGTAAAAAATTTCTTCGTCGCTCCAATATGCTGGTATATCGTAAAATGTGATGTTACGTGACCTAGCGGTAAAATGTTTTTCCAGACGATCTTTATCATTATCACCAATCACTCCTAACTCGATTACGGTGATCGTCCTATTTTTAGCTTGTTGTACTCGCGCCCTTTTCCTCTTTTTGTTGAGGTGTTTTTTCTTTTTCTGCTTTTCATTATCTATTTCCATTTTTGTCACTTGACTCGTTAAATTTTCCTCTTTTTCTTCTAGCGCTTTTATTTTTTTCCATAAAATATTATTTGCCTCTGATTTCTTCAATATTATTTATTCCTTAGCAATCACTTCTGCTTCTAAATTCCTAATTCTATTTTCTAAATCTTGTATTACTAATTCGTTTGTCAAAGCACTTTCTGCCAAACCTTTTTCCAAATCCTCAATTATTTTTTGAAATTCTGAATTTTGAAATTCCATTCATTGAAGTGTAGTCGCAGCTGTTTTCTCACGTCGAAGAAGTACTTCTAAACTAGTTTCAACATGTACTCCTGCAAATTTTATTAGGAATAAAGATAAAAAATAATACACCGCTGGCACTTTCGTCTCCGGTTTGTTGAGGCGTATAGGTATCTTTCCCGGTTTTGAAACAGAACCAACTCTTAAAATTATCGATTTTTCCAAATCTATGTATTCTTCAATTTTTTTACACTTCACGACCTCTGCTAAAAAAACATCATAAACATCGTGAAATTGGTCAAAAAATTTTTTCATATATATCTTCTTGTCATTGTTAACCCACGTCGTGACCTCTTCATCGTCGTTAATTATTCCTGTGTCCATATTATATATCTTTAAAAGCGAAAATAAATTTTATTTTTTGTAAAAAAAAAAAAAAAAAATTGGTTTAAGAGATCAGCGGAAAGAGTTCTTCCTCAGATTATAAATAAATAAAAAACAATAAAGAATTAATAGTTATTATATCAATATACTTACTTTAGTAAGAATTCTCATATCATCACAACATTGGATAAAAGTTTGAAATAGATTTTCTCCAGAATGCGGGCCAGATAATTTACAAAAATCGATCAAAATTTCTTTTAATTCCCAGTTTTGGGAAATCCAATGCACTGTAATTTCGAGAAATGAAAGGAAGTTTGAAAAAGTCCACGCATCAAGTGTAAATGCAAGATGACCTGGAGCATTCTATTAATATTCTAATGTGTTAATATTTATGAGAATTATTAAATAAAAAATAGAGGTACCAAATATACCTGTAAAATATTTTGTATTTTATTTCTCTCTTCCTTAAACGCATCTATAATATCATTACGGGCTGTATCTGCTGATATAGTTTTAATATTAGGGAATAATAATCGAAATATTTTTCGAAGTTGTTCATTTTCTACAACTGTAAAGGGTTGGTCATCACAGTCCATAGACGATCCATTTAGTGATAAATTCATGAAATATTGTTGCAGAGTTCCGAACGAGTCAAGTCGAGTCGAGTTATATGTAAACTCGATTCAACTCGAGTTAAATCGAGTTGAGTCGAGTCGAGTTAAAATTATAAAAATATAAACTTGATTCGATTCGAGTCAAGTTGGCCCGTCAAACCAAATCGAGTTGAGTCGAATTAAATCACGTGATTTTATTCGGCTATGCCGATCATTTCCTTTTTTTGGCGATAGCCGTTCCACAAAATTCCATTTTTGTAATTTTCAAAAATTTTTCGTCTCAGATTTTGTGTAACATAATTTCCAAAAAAGGAAATTCCATAAATTTGGCCGGAATTATGTTTAATTCGGCTTAACTTGACTCGACTCGATTTTATTAAATTATTAACTCGATATGAATCGATTCGATTTGATTGTAATTTTCAACTCGACTCGACTCGACTCGACTCAACCAACTCACGAGTCAACTCGACTCGTTTCGAAGCACTAAGTATAACGCTAAATTTTTATTAATAATTTTTATTTATCGTTAAATATTGTATAAATGTATAAGGGCCGTGACATATATTACCTCATATCATTTTATTATAGGTGTGTTATACCCACCCCCAGGTAAGATATCTGATTACGTGAATGTCAATCATTTTCCTTTTATAGATCTAGAATTATAAAAAGGGCTGAAAATTTTTTTTTAAAAAAAAAATGTTCGAATTTTGTTTTTTTTTTTATCGGCTTATTAGCACTCACTCCAAACAAAATACACTAAATAAAAACGATAGATAAAAAATTTAATTGTATAGTAGTTTATTTTGTATTCAAAAATATATTTATTGATTCTCGAGCATTAAAAAATTCCATCCAAAAAAATTATGCCAACATTTTTAATATGACGATCATGCATATTGCTGCATATTGCTGCGTATTGCTGCGTATTGCTGCAAGGAGAGAAGATTATCTCGCTAGTCGCTACAAAAAAAGAAATTTGAATTGCTGCGGAGTTCATGACACGTTCAACTTTCAAGATTTGATTTTAAAAACTTTTAATAAAACAAATGCGTCAATAATTTTATTTCCAGTGCTAAAATGAGTTGTCAAACCTTCTTTCTTAGCCCCAAATTTAATAAGAAATCAATTTTTCATTCACCAACAAATAAGTACCAAGAGTTTGTTAATGCTTATGTATATAGTATTATGGTTAAGAATGGGAACGGAACTCCCAACCGTGCTGATATTTGTAGTGAAGCAGCAAAAGAGTGGAACAAAATTAAAATCAAGAGTAGACCGGAAATTGATGACATGATTAGAAATTATCTGGCCATGCCACATAATCTATGTAATATGCAAACAATAAGGCCATTACCTTCTGCACCTAGAGAAGATTCACATCCTCCTCTTCCTACTCTTCCTGCAATTTGTTCGGCAGATCCTATACTGGAAATTTTTGTCAATGCATCAGCACAAAGAAAAGCGGTAAATGAGATAAAAATAGCCGAAAAAAAGATTAGTGAATTCGAGCAGATCTACAATATTTCAACAGATTATCAATTTCGACATGATACGTACTTAAAAATAGGAAGTCATCGAGCTGAAATTGAATCTAACAGGAAAAGAATTATTAAATTAAAAAGGAATGCTGATTATGCTCAAAAATGCAAAGAAAAAAAAAGAAAAATACTTCACGAAGACCAGATGGTAATACTATATGATAAGCCTGGTCGGCCCCCATTTCTTTTTGAACATCCAAATTTGCATGATCATATCCACGATTCGATCGAGTTTGGAGCAGCTGATAAAAAACGATGAAAGAAAGTGATTAAAGTAGTGCGAACTATCGAACATTTGCACAAAAATCTTGAAGAAAATTATGATGTTTATATGGCGAGAACAACATTGAACAATTACCTGCTGCCTCGCCAATCCAATTCTATAGCCGCAAAAGCACATCATCATCCAGCGTGGGTCTCAGTAGCGGGAGTTTCACGTACTGAAACACGCGACCATCCTGATGGTCATTATTGTCTTGCATCTACTAAATATGCAAGGCAATTTGCTACCGCCTTTGCCGATAATTCCGTTGTTATTTCACAAGATGACAAGGAGAAGATAGGTATTGGAGTACCTGCTGTAGGTAGAACATTTCATTCGTTGCAGTCAGTTAATGAACCTGTTAGTGTAGCCGACCATGATTTTCCTATAGAAAATGCGCAGAAGTTGGTTCTGTCAGTTTACCTTATAACAAAACCAAACGAGTCAAATGATAAATTACAAACAGAACAACTTGCCATTTTTGTACGCAATCAATGGTCTCTTGGTACGTCTTCACTCACACACATGCAAGATCTTGAAAGCCTTGTCCTGGATCCTCAATATGATGATGTATTGAAAACCAGTGGAGAAATTCGACCGATCTGGGTATTACTGGTAGATGAAAGGCCGGACGAGAATCCAAGACATCTAAAGAACATTAAAATATACTGTCAACTTTTTAAAAAGTTTGATTTAGATTACTTGACTGTTCGAACACATGCCAAAGAAAAATCAAAGTATAATCCTGTAAAAAGAGGCATGGCTACACTATCTGGAAAATTGGCAGATATTAAACTACCGATTGATCACTTTGGATCGCACCTAAATACACAAGGTAAAGTGATTGTTCCAGAATTGGCCCTGAGAAACTTCAGATATGCTGGAGAAACACTTTGCGATATTTGGCGTCGAGATTTGATTTTTGGGAAAAAAGTTAATGCACGGTATGTTGAAGAGCTATCTAATCCATTCGAAAATTTAGAGTTTGAAGGTACAGACAAAGAAAAAGCAGAAGAACAAAAACAACAAAAAAGAAAACAAGAAAAAGGAGACGACTCACCAGAATGTTTTATGCTATGGTCATGGATCGAAAATCACTGCTGTAATTTATGCCAGTAGTATTCTCTTGATATTAAACGTTGCATGAATACAAGCTGCTGTGGACCACCTCGTGCAAAAGAAGCCATGGATTTTCTTTTTTCGAATAATGGCTTTTTGCCTCCAGTTACAAAAGCTAAAGACGGACATTTCACAAATGCCATACATCTCCTTGAATATTTTGATCTCATGAAAATTCCTGGGTACGATTTTCACTGCCTGTCCCTTGATCCACTAGTCGAAATAAGGCAAATCGGCTAAAAATCGGATATCCGATTTTAGGTCAAATTACGGCTGAAATATGTCCGATTTTTACAAAAAAATATATTCCGATTGTTATCCGATTGACTGCCAATCAGATGTACTTCGGAACTTAAATCGGACATAAATCAGAACTAAATCATACTAAATTCGGACAGTCAATCAGATGTACTTCGGAACTTAAATCGGATATAAATCAGAACTAAATCATACTAAATTCGGACAGTCAATCAGATGTACTTCGAAACTTAAATTGGACATAAATCAGACTAAATCATACTAAATTTGGAAAATTATTATATATAGAAAATTCGATTTAAATTTATTATCGTTATATATTAATTATCAGAAATATTTACAAATAATACATGAAAAAAAAAAATTTAAAATAAATGTAATCAATAGTCCCGCATCATTCAGCTAAATCATCACCGGCTCCACTTTTTTGACTATCGATTAACACCTCTTCCGTTTCTTTACCATAGTCTTCATCATCTTCGTCGAAACCACTTCTACTATCGATTTCCGTATCATATATAAAATCCTCTTGCTCGACATATGACCATTATGGAGCATCTTCAGGGTGCATTCGGTCGAAGTGTTAAACTTCATCATCATACTGGCGAGGTCGTTGTAATTTTGCTGTTTGAATATCTGCCGAATGTGAGTCGATGACGTTTCGAAGTAAATTTTTTAGCTAAAAAAGACAATATAAATAAAATAAATACAAAATAAAAAAAAGGAACAAGAGTGATATATCGAAGTATAAATATCGAAGTATAAATATCAAAGTATAATAAATATCGAAGTATAATAAATATCGAAGTATAATAAATATCGAAGTATAAATCTCTTGTGATCGCCAAAAATAATCATAGACGCATACGATCGTCTTATCTGGATTCTCTTCATCTGACTCACTGATTTCAGGCGAGTGGTAAGATCGATTTGCCAACATTTTTAATAATTGGCATTTTTCATAACCAATTATTCTTTCGTCACTTTTCCTATAAAGATCCTTTGCAGCCTTAATTCGACGCAATTTTTTCTTAAATGATAAATATATAAGAAAATTAGCATAAATCATTAACATGATGATAAAGGAAAAAATTCGACAATTTTACATTTTGTATGCGACTGTTGTTGTGAACTCTGCGACTGTCCTCGTCACTTTTTCCACTTTTTTTCAGTTGTGTTTGTGATCTTCGCGACTTATGGAGGGCACTTAACCAGTTCGTCAATTGTGCTACTGAAGGTTTATAATTCAGAAACATCGCCCTTTGAAGTTCGGGAATTAATCTACTGCGAATTTCAACATTTTTTGGACTATTAAACGTTTCGTTATCATCCAAATTGTCATTAGGTTTAATAGTTTTGAGGATCATTTTCATTTCAATCTTTAAATCAGAACAATTAGTATAAAAGTATAAAGACTGTACAATTCTGCCTAAAATTACAAAATTACAAACCCTAACATCCTTTTCACGTTGTTCTTCTTGTTCTTCTTTTGGTTGATTTTCGGCGTAGTGTACCGTCTTCTTTACTTTTTTTGACCCATCCGATTTGAACCGTTTTGCTAACCGTTCTTCTGGAACATCAATAAAATCAAGGCTTTCAGATGATGATCGTATCTGGTATTGTTCGAGTTTCGTTTTTAATTCGTTAACCTCTTCTTTCAAGTCATCATTTTCAGAACCAAATTCTGCGTTAACACCAGCAAGAAATACGTTATCTTCTCGTAAGCGAGCTATTTCAGTGGCAACGACAGCTGTATGTTTGGTTAATTCATTATTTCATCATTCTAACTGTAAACACTTCGCACGCAAATCGGATACTTCTTGAGATAACCTCCGATTCTCTGTATAAAAATGTAAAATCAACAAAAAAAAAATACTAAATCTAACTGACGATATATACACGATACAGACCTGTTGATGCATCATCATCATCGCGGGTAGGTTCATTAGTTTGATATCTGACCGGAAGCTGAAGATTTTTATATCTCTCTTTTACACTTTGAGCTCGTTCATGACTTGGCATAGCAGATGGTGGTTGAGTATTGGACGAACTTTTATTGATGTTAGTAGTTTGAGCTCGCTCATGAATTGGCGTGGCAGTCCCTTCAACAGCTTGTTGGATATTAGACGAACTTTTATTGATGTTAGTAATCGTTTTATTTCGATTATCACTAGCCAAACCTTTTTCAGTATTTTTATTTTTTCTATTTTGGATCATTATTTTTTTTGGTTGCGAATTTTGGCTCATTATTTTTTTATTTTTTTTTTTGGTTGCGAAGAGTATTAGACGTTAAAACTCTAAAAAGAAAGGTGAGAAAAAATGAAGTTTTATTTAAAAAATTAAACTTTAAGAAACTTTCGCCATCATAC